TCTATTTATCTATCTATCTATCTCTATCTGTCTCTCTTACTCATTTTCTCTTTCTCTTTATACCATCCGATCCCTCATCGACACTCACAAAAGGGGGCAAAGCGTAATCAAAAGCCACATAATCTTAAGAGTTTATTTAGAAAATCATTAACAGCGTTTATGTATTCGGCCGAATAGAAACCGATTTTTTCGACAAAAATTTGTTTACTCTCGTTGCTAGTTTATGAATAATGAGTGATAAACCAAGTTTTCATTCCCTCCGAAAAATAGAAATTGTTCTCAGTTTACATGATGCTGTGCACGTGTCCTTCGATCGATTTGGCCCATTTTCTATAACAAGCTGCGTGCAAGAATTTCCACTGTTTCTGTCAAACTTGAAGTCGTTAGCTTAATTTTTGCAGCCAAGAGAATGTTTACAGCAGAGATTACATAGACGGGTAGATGGACATGCTTAAATCGATTAAGAATTTGATCCTGATCAAAAGTAAATATACTTTGTGGGGTATCTTATGCTTCCTTCTGGCCGTTGCAAACGTTTTGACAAAATGAATATACCCCTCCACACCATTTGGTGATGGAGAGAGAGAGTAAAGATAATATTTTTCGCGAGAATGATGGGCATATGTTGGGGGTGAAGTCTTATTTTATTATAAAATTACCGAAGTAAAGCATAATTTAAGGATTATTGTAATAAAAGTTAATTGAAGCCTATTTCCAATCACATTTGTTCATAAAAACTCTTTCTTCCTTTATCCTTAAATGCTTATAATTATGTCCGTGCATAAATACTTACACACGTTTCAAGCAATTCATTTTTAATTGAGAATTTGTTCGCCTTTCCGTTTATAATAAAAAATTTTATCTGTTAGTTTTTATGCTCAAGCGTTGCCTGTGAAGATAAGAGACAAAGGTCATTATCAATTTTTTCTCTTTTATGTATATATCTCTCATCTGTTCATAAAAGTTTCAAGGCAGACCTTACCCACACCAAGTTATAATGGTTTTGAATACGAAAGCAAAAAAAATAAATAAATAAATAAATACAAAAAATACTAATAAAAGCAAATATTGCAAAATTGTAAGTACTTGGTCATAATGTCCTGAAGACAAGCGCGGACAGGAAAGATAAAGTAGACTAGTGTTGTTGTTGCTCTTCTTTTTCCTCTATTACATCGTTTGGTTGAGAAGAACGGAGTTGAATGCTGCCTGTTTTTTATAGATTTAATGTTTATTACCATTGAAGCCTCAGCTGAGCTTGAATCATGGAGTTGGTTAGCCACTTCGTTTTTTTCTTTTAAACCGCAAAGTACTACTGAACTGCCAGATATTAAAGTGAACAGCAAGGAGAAATTGCTTCGAAGAAAAAAAAAGCAAATAAAGTAAGACTACACACACTATAGGGAAAATTCATGCCCATGTCTCGCTTTAAATTTAATTTTTAAATACAGTTTAAATACATATTATGAAACTTATCTAAGCGGTAGGTACCTCTCTCAAAACAATTATTGATTAAAGAATTGCATTCATAACATCCAAATACATGGTAGAGGTTTAGTACTTGTATGATGTAGTGAAAGAGAAATTTTAGATTTTTACATTGCGACGTTAGTCAGGCTTAAATCAAAAACGTTAATCAGAACCGTCAACAATGAGTTCGATATTGGTCTAAAAGTATAGCGTATAGATCTTGTATATGATGAGCATATGATGAATTAGAAAATTTTCCTATTAATCTCAGAACGTTCTCATCCCCCGTCCCTACCTTATTTTTGGACCAAATAGTTTGCTACTAAAGTAAAACCACGAAAACCACGAAAAAGTGAATGAAAGTGAAGTGCTTTAACGGCAGTAAATGTTAAATGTCGTACTCTTCTCTTCTTTTTTCTTTTTGGTGTTTTAAACTTCCGTTCATTGGAAGAGGAAAATCTTTATTGTTGTGTAACAGTGATAGAAGAAATACATGAAAAACATGAAATGCACTCAGGTTGCGATAAATTAAGTTCTTGTGTCATTTTCCGCACTTCTTCTTGGTTTAGTAAAAGGAAAAACTGAAGAAGTGAAAGAAGGAATTAACAAAAACAAAAAATAAAGAATGCTTTTAAGTTGTCATGTTCTGGTAACATGTAACAATTAAGTTATTCGTGAGAGCAGTTGAAAATGTAGAGTATACATGTGTGTTTGAATGTGTTTCATGCTGTGAAGGTAGTGTAGACTCGAATCAATGTGGAAAAGATTTATGAAATTTATCTGCAGGAAATATAATCGCAAAAGTAAAAGATATACGAGAAAGGAAAAGAAAAAAGATTTTAAAGAATTGATGCCTTTGGAAAATTTTCCTTTCATTAATTTCGTACGTTGTTAATTAAGAGGTCGCAGTCGCGCATAATAGAAAATATTAACGAAACCGTAAAACATGTTTTTCTGGGGGCGAAACCATCCGTTGTTTCGTTCCTAATATAATGTCTGGAAATATGAAACAAAAAATAAAATGAACTCTTATTAAAGTGGATATTTTTTCGAAAGTGAAAGTAAAAATTACTTGAAATTGTATAAAATTTAATAATGAGGGTGTACGCAAAAAGGTTATACCCTTAAAAGTACTCTTTTTATTTTATATAAATAAAAGTCCTAAAAATATGCAATAATATATTAAAATATTTTTTTAACATAATCGATCGACAATGTTTTTTCAAGCTAAATTTTGAATAAACTAATAAGCATTCTTCGGTAGTTACCTTAATATTGAGGAAAAGTTATATTAGTGCTTTTTTTTCTTTCATCAAAATTTAGCCACATTTGCCTTTCGATTTTAAATAAACTTGATTGAACCAAAAATTTGCCATTGTGACGCCTACGAAACGTTATCGCTTTGATCGGAGTGCTATTGTATTGAATTCTTTCAGAATTTATGACTCATTTTCAACACACAGTTGCATTGGGCTGACTTAATAAATATACCAAGCTTTAGATTTCTATGGATTAACTGCCACCTTTCGAAGCCATCATAGCGTGGCTTGATACGACAAATACTAGTAAGGTTACGTGACTTCAAAGCCGTCTATTAGACAAAACGCCATGAAGTTGTTTCCTCTCTTATCTTATCTAACGTGCATATTATTTTTTTTTAACTATTTACTTTATTACGTTTTTCACTTTTTTGTCTTAAATAACAGAATATGTGATGCGTACAACCATTTGGCTCGATTAGGTACTTTTCTTGTCTTCAGTTGAAACTTTTATTTAAATTTTGAAGTTCTATTTATTTAAATCTTTTTCTCCTTTAACAATATTAAAAAAAAAGAACAAAAATACTCTTATACCCAGAAGAACTCGTGGGGATTTTTCTTTACTAAGGAAAAAACCATTTTACGCTCAACAAAATTGTTGAGTGAAACAGTTACAGTAATTTTCATATTCGTCATGCGTTTTGCAATGCGCAGAAATATGAACTGGACTGCATGTGTTCTTGATTAGCTTAGCCGCGGCTTCATCATGTTCGTATGTTGTGTCTGTGCATTCGTTTATCTTGTATAATGGTAGAGCTATCATTTGCTAGCCAATGAGTTAATTGGTGGACATAGATCATGTCTGGAAATGTGTGTGGTTCGCACTCATGCGGCTTCTATAACTTCATTAACAATTTTATACCAAATTTTATATCAATATTTGCTATATCTCGCAATGTGTGGAACAGAATAATTTCTTCACTATTGAATGCTTATATGTTCTTGGTCTCACCAAGCCTATCAATATCGTGTTATTATCAATAACGTGTTAGTTATTGTAAGCCTTCTTATAATGAACGACTATCAGATACAAAAAAAGGAAAGACAGACGGACTTAGTCGCACTTGCCGGTATTTTCACGTAGATGACTAATGCCATAATCATTCCAAATCCTCATGAATGCATGCACAAATGAATGAATGCATCAATTATTAAATGACTAAACGAATGTTAATGAATGAATGTATGAATGAATGAATAAAGCAAGAAAGGAATGCATCAAAGGAAAGAAGCAAGGTAGGAAAAAAGGAATGGAAGAAGGAAATAAACAAGAAATAGATGAATGAATAAGTGAATGAATTATTGAAGAAAGGAAGGAATGAATGAAAGATGGAAGGAATATTTGACTGACTGAATTAACGCGTGAATGAATGAATGAATGAATTAATTAATGAAATAATTGTGAAGGCAGTACTGGAGGAAGGAACGAATGAATAAATAAGCGAGTAATTGAATATGCGAAGGAAGAGAGGAAGGAATAGAGAGGGAAATAAATGCATGAATGAATGAAAGAATGCATGACTGAGAGAATGAATGAAATAATGGGTGAATAAATTGAATATAAAATTCACATTTATCTTATATAATAATTAATATATATCGTGTTGTCAATTGGTTTTTCTTCCTTTGATTTTTTATTTACCTAATTCATTCATATTTTTATTAAATATCACATATTTGATAATATTTTACTTCTTTTTTCTTTAAACACTTGTACTGTTAAATTTTTTAAAGTGTACTTGGAATAAACCGGAATTTTTATTGATAATTATTTAAGAAATCAAGAGAATTATTTTAGTCGTCGTAACGCTTTAGAATTCTTATAATGTAAGCGTTAATTCGCACTCTTTCAAATTGCAACCACAACTTGATCAGTTGAGTTAAGAACGAATCTCTTGTTACCTATCATATCATTTTATTTTCTCAAGCAATTAGAAGAAGAGGAAGATTATGCAAATTTTTTATCTCTTTGTTCTTATGCACGGAGATATTGTCTAAGTTAGCTTGTAAAGAACAACAGATAAACACACAGATGGAGATTAAAGAGTATATAGAATATTTGAGTAAATGTTACATAAAGATTAACATATTTAATAGATCCTCCAGGATTAGTTAAACATTAAACTTGAACTCATACATTGTGTTTTCATTATTATGCATGCAAAGCCGATAGAGTTCTAATCCAATAGGTGAAAAGAGAAAAGCTCAGTTCATTTTTTCCGATTATAAGACTTACAACAATAACTGGGATGCGGTTGGTAAACAAATCAAAAGTGTTGTCGATTAATTGCCTATTAATGTTGTTGGGAATGATTGCGACGGCATTTGCTTACACTTCAAATAAAGCTTATTTCGTTTATAACGAGGGTCTGGTAAAATTTTGCATTTCTTTTATTTGGACTTTTCAAATTTTATTTACACTTTTGCTTTATGTAACATTCAGTTGCAATGGCAAGACGCTGAAAATTATTGTGTTAAACGAGGCATGCATCTCGTGTCCATAGAAAGTGTAGATGAATCGAATTTTTTGAAAAATTTCATAAGACTCAGATATCGTAAGTTTGCTGCAAGTGTTTACAGATGAAGCTCGTGAAAGTTTTTATGAAAATTTTCCTTAAATTATTTAGAAAAAATGCCACCATATTGGACGGGCGGCTATAAGATCAACGGTGTATGGCATTGGATAGCTAGCGGGGAGAAAATCAAAGATTTTATTTGGCACGTTGGTGAACCGAATGATTTGTACAACAATGAGGGCTGTATCCATACCTGGGTCAACGAATTCGATTGGAACGATGATCGTTGCAACGAAGAACTGCCCTTTATCTGTGAGATAAAAAACTAAATTTTAATATTCATTTTCATCATTACTTTTGCAAATAGTTAACGATTGTAAAGCAATGCAGTTAAAGTAAAATTTTTACACTGATTTAAAATAAATTTTCATTATCAAAAATCAACATTAAGATCTTTGGGAAATTTTCTTGCATGAAAGGTTTCGAAGAGTTCACAAATACAAATATTATCAACGCTTGCAATCGAACAAGCCCCATGAAATTGTTGCGAAAACGCTTTCATTGTTAAAAAAAGTTAACTTGCAACTAAAACAAACTAAGAAGGTTAACGACAAACTCCTGCTTCGTAGTTTTTCAGTAAGTAAATCTTAAAATTGCTCGGTTGCATCATTATCTTATGAATAATAAACAACAAAAAAAAAAAGAGAAAAAATTTCGAGAATTCCATTACCTGTAATAACATTTAATTCTCATAAGGGATTAGAACTTTCTTTACATTGATTGACCTTTGACGATTTGTGATCTGAATTGGTGAGCTATCAGCTCAACGATGTATGTGATAAAGTGCAATGATAAACAATAACAATTCTTAATGGGAACAAGTTTTTCCTTATATCTTCTATTTTTTTTTATTAAAGGTGCGGGCTATGGAACAAAGGTTGAGTGAATGGCCCAAACCAACCAATAACGCCACCACTAACGTCACTAATAATACCTCACCGATTCATCAACCTCAACCGCAAACACAATCACAACAACAACAACAACAACAAACGACAGCTATCACACAGCAACAACAATTGCAGCAATCTGCGACCACAACAGCAACAAGTCTTCCTACGGTAGTCGCTGAGCATACTATAACATCTTTGGAAATTCAAGTCGAGGAACAACGTCAATTGCGTTTACAAGACGCCCGGCAAATCGAGGCCAAGGCAGCAAAAATTAAAGAATGGGTCAATAATAAATTACGCGATTTGGAAGAACAAAATCAATTGCTACGCGAACAGAATCTCAAGTGTAACCAGCAGTTGGAATTATTAAAAAACTATATTGCGAACCAATCGAACCGGCACAGTGTTATTGGACCGGTGCGTAACAGTTTGAGCTTGGATGTGCAAGAGTTTTCGACCTCCAAAGAAACCCGCCGACGTAGCGAAAGTTTAGATACACAAGAGATAATCAGTCGTCCTTTAACCACATCTTACCCGCACCATCAGCATCGACGTAATCTTTCAATGGAGCCCACGGAGTTAGAGCGCAACTTAGTCGCGGCTGTGGATGGTTTATCTTTAGCTCCTCTGGCTAGTATAACAGCCAAGCAAACACCTTTAACCTCGACGGTTAAAAATGGCAGACCGGATAGCTCCGATACCGATACAGCTCACGATTATGCCGAAATTTATACACCGTCGTGTGAAAAAATGCCCGCTTGGCTAAAGAATAATAATCCAGCTTTAATGGCTAGTGGAGGTAATTCAAGTACCACAACTACCACAAGTGATATAGTGCCTAGACCGCCGACACCGCCTTTACATCGTTTCCCTAGCTGGGAAGCTAAAATCTACCAAGTGGCCAACGATGGTCTGGCAGCCAGTACGGAGAGTCATTTGAATCACCAACACGCAGTCATGACGTCTGAAAGGGGGGAAAGTCAAAGTCAACTGCCACCGCCGCCTGATGTGCAAGAGTCTAACACTAACCTGGCTAATGGTTCCAATCAACCTGGTAGACATACACCCGGTAGCAGCACCAATGCAGATACGCTGGGTAGTAATAATGGAGCCGCCGCCACCGCCACTCCCAATAATACAATTACCAGACAACAACAAACAGCCAGTGGTGGTTTCTGTGATATTTCAGTACCAGTTTATGCTACCGTCAAAGGGGTGAGTACTTAACTTAAAAAAATGAATATAAAATGATATGAAAAAATTTTCCCAACGGATTTATTTCTTGTCAACAGAGGGCTTCCCAAATACGTTCCATGCCTTTCACAGGCGACTCTAGTGATGATTCAAGCGATGGTGAAGATCATGCTGTCATGCTTACTCATAATTCTCATAACTCATCAAGCACTGACAATACGGAGACTTCAACTTCCGGTAGTGCTTCGAGTCCTTCGAAAAGTCTGAAAACCTCATCGAGTTTAAGTCCTGCCAAGCGTAGTGGTTCAGAAAGTCCTAAAAATTCCAAACCAAGGGGTATGTGTGTAAAATGCTTAATTTAATGCCTGTTCTCTGCCGTTTAAATAATGCGATGAATGAATGTTGGTAGTACTAGTGGTAAAATAAACCCTTAAACTGTTACATAATAATCTGTTCAATCCCTTACCTCTTAGAAGACAGAATTAGAAAAGAACATGAAAAGATATTTTCACTTTTTTTTTTTTTTTTGTTACAATATATTCATAAAGTTTTTTGTTAAACGATTTCTATTAGTATGCATTAACTTTTCTTTTAAAAAACGCCTAAAAATAGCCTTTCATATGAAAGAACCGTTTCCCTTCCCCTTAGTAGTAACGAAGTGAAATTTAATTAAACTGAAGAGAATAAAAATAAAATTTCCTAAATAAAATACAACCCTTTATGTAAAAACTCCCTCATGTAGACTTTGGTTTTTTTTGATTCTGTCGCCCCTTTGAAACCCATAATTAAAACCCTTGCAACGAATGCTTTTCGTAAAAATAAAATGCAATAAAATAATTAAAAATTACGACAAATAAAAACTTTAAATTACTAAATAAATTTTTTTTTAATTTTTTTTATCATCATCGTACCCTATCTTTCCCTACATCTCCCTTAACTCCTGCTGTAAACGTTTTTTGCAAAATTACTTTAAAAAATTAAATTGACATCACCCGCTATGCAGCGTACCAAACATATCAGCATCAATCTCTGCGTACACCTAATGTCCCGTATCCTCAGTCACCAAATACCTCGCTGCTAACCCAACATAACCTCAAAATTTTACCAACACAAGTGACACAATATCATAGACTTTCTGTGACTGCCAACAATCATGTACGTGTCCCTCATGTACGTGGCACAGTAATTTCAGATATTTCCTTTGAATCAGGCCTATCCGATGATTATGCTTTGCCACCCGATGCAGTCTCGGAATCAACTTGTCCGATGGACGCCTCTATGCCTTCTTTACTGATGCGGCAATCATATGTGGATTCGCCAAGTAAAAAACTAGAGTCACTAGAAAAGGTAAATCTTTAATTTTTAAGTTAGAATATATATGATAAGTGCATATCTATCGCTCGTAGATGGGTCACCTAGCTAAGCTGGGTGGTAAATTGAAGACTTGGCGTAAGCGCTGGTTTGTTTTGAAAAATGGTACTTTAACTTACTGGAAAAGTCAACACGATGTGCAACGTAAGCCGCAAGGTCACATTATATTAGATGAAGCCTGTCGCATAAATCGTGCAGAAGGGGCTTCAACATTTGAAATTGATACGGGTAAAAAAGTGTACTATCTCACTGCCGATTCCAATGCCACTATGGATGATTGGATTAGAGTTCTTCAAAATGTTCAAAGACGCAATGCCACCAAGCTGTTGCTTAGTCGCGAAGATCAAAAGCCCACTTTGCAAGGATGGGTGACGAAAGTGAAGAATGGTCATGCCAAAAAATGTTGGTGTGTATTGCTGGGGAAAATGTTTCTATACTTTAAAGCTCCCAATGAAACGGTAAAAATTTATTTTTTCATCAAAATTTAACGCGAAATGGTCGGACATTAAATGAAACTTTTATCAACAGAATCCGGTGGGACAAATCAATATGCGGGACGCTAGGGTGGAAGAAGTCGAACATGTCTCCGACTCCGATTCCGAGGAAAGAGAAGATCCAGCTCAAAGTCAGGCCAGACTAACTGTTGCTATCTATCCTGCTCATCAGGGACCGACTTACTTGATATTGCCAGGCAAAGCCGAACGTGATAACTGGCTTTATCACTTGACCGTAGTGTCCGGTGGAGGACCCAGCGCCGGTACTCAATATGAACAGCTTGTGCAAAAACTTATGGAGACCGATGGAGATCCTAGTAAGACTTTCAAAGCATAATAAAAATATTTCAAAATATTTTTTTTTTTTTTTTTTAATTTCAAAGATTGCGTTATTTGGCGTCACCCTATACTTTTACATACCAAAGATACCATTAATGCCCCTTTAAGTTCCATGCATACCGAAGCCATACAGCCGGAGGCGATTAAACTATTTAAGGTAAACGCCTCAAAAACATATATATTTTTTGTAAAGCTTGCAAACTTTGCACTTAATTTTTTCTTTATATTTTTTGAACGTATTCAGAGCATACAACTTTTTATGTCGGTGGCTGTCAATCAACCAGGCATTGATTATCATGTCGTTTTGGCACAAAACGCTTTGCAGCATTGTCTCGATCTACCCGAATTGCAAACCGAAATGATTTGTATATTAATTAAACAGACCTCTAGACATACGGGCCAAAAACTAAGTGTGGGCGTCCAGGTAAACAAGAAACTGGGCAAGCAGACGCGCGTAAGTTTTTCTTTAGTTGCGAATGCTCTTTTAGTTGAAATTTTTCGTTTTTCGTGCTTTTGTTCCTTTTCTTTTTTTTTTTTTTTTTTTTTTTGTTCTTTTTTTAACTTCGGTTTCGTCCTTTTTTTTTAAATTTTTTTTCTTCTAAATTGTTATCATTTCTTTGTGCTGAATGTCAAAAAAAAAAAAGAAATATACATGTATAAAAATTCTTAGAATATTTAGTATTATTATGTCATATAAGTTCATGAAAAGTGAAAGCTCAAACTAAAACGAATGTTTTCGTTGCGTAGAACAAATTAAATGGTTTTCTAGTTATAAGTGCCATTAAAACGAAAAAAAAAAGTTTCATTAACACGGGTAGAAAATTTATCAGTCAAATCTTTAATAACCGCCAACTCAAGCCAACACATCCATCCAGTTGGCATCTCGTCGCGTCACCATCTCTACTCATCTCATCTTTTAAAACATCTATGTGACATTTATACAATATTTCAAATAAATTTATAGAAACCGATAGTTAAAACTTAAAGCTGTTTAAGTACGTACGTCTAGCATGTTTCGGACTTAATCACTTTCATTTTTGCACTGAAGTCTGAAATATCTATATCAAGTATAGTTTATTATTTATTGGGAATAGATAAAGTTTATTTGCACACATGATCTGTGACAGCAAATTAAGAACATATTTAGTGAGTTTCATCTCTCCATCTCATATTTTCACGCAGGGAGCAATTGAGCAACAACAACAACTGATAGTGTCAGATAGGTGGAGTGTTAAGTGTTAAATCGTTTCGAAAGTTTTCGTTGCTTAAGATAGATTGATTTCTGCATTACTCAACGCCTAGGAGAGACGGTATTCCTTTCCGGCTTTCGAAGAAAAAGCGCTGAGATTGCAATAAATTCTTCTTCTTGATAATCTTATAAAACAGGTGGTGCGCAACAAAAACTAATTCCATGCGGTCGCAGCACCGGCCACAGTCATCTTTGAGAAGAAAAAACTGCTCAACTATTGTCCTTTCACTTCACCTTTCACCTTTTTATCTCACTTTTTCAAGGCTGTTTCATCAGCGGACGTCGTGCAGAGATAACTGACAAAACGAACAAATGGACAGATGAACGAACAGACAAATGAAGAGAATCTTACCCGATTATGTACTTCAATCCATATTTAAATTAATTCGCACTCTCCGGTGGTAGATATTATTACGATTAAAATCATCGCATCCCTTCTCATAAATCTCTTTTAAATATATTCAATAAGACTATTCCACCATCAAAGAAAATTGAATTTAAGCAAAGTTCTTGTCTTCTTGATCAACATTTCCTTAGAAAGAGAAAAAGATATTCATCATCATATCTCGAGATTAGTTATTATTTTCATTTTTTCATCATCAAGTAGATTATGACTTATAGAAATATATAGAGGAAAGACTTTGTTCTCTTCGAAATTTTGCTAGAAAAGCGAAGAAATATTATCTTTCTGAGAAACTAGTCAAGTTGTGTAAAATACCTTTTTGTTTAGAAAAGCTTAACTTTGTGTTTACAAGCTTATTATAGCTTTAAAAAGACAAAAAAAATCGCATGCAATAGATTTTTGTTATAAACAGAGTAAAATTGAAATGAAAAAA